TGAAGATAAACATTTGTATAAAACGTTGTATGTTGGTTTGTTTGACAGTCCACAACAAGATCCTTGAGCAAGATCAAACAAGCTTGGCACAGAAGAGGTCAGTATATGCAAGTCATGGCTGAAATCATGCATGTGCTTACTAAAATGATGTTTTATAAAATGATGTTTTTGTAAATGTATCTGATTATGGTACATAAGACACAACAATAGTGACAGTGCTAAAAAAAAAAAAAAATTATTTAAAACAAGGAGGCTCGAGAAAAAAAAAAAATGCAGATATGAAGATTTCAGGAATCGATGCAGCACCACAAGTACCATCACCACCAGAAATCTTAAGACCACCATCAAGATGCACAGATGCTGAACATTCTAGTATGCCTATGAACATTTACTGTCCTTGTTCCAGTGCAGTTGGAGATCAAGACAGAACTTGTTGCAACTCGTGTGTGTGTGTGTGTGTGTGTGTGTGTGTGTGTGTGTGTATATATATATATATATATATATATATATATATATATATATATATATATATATATATATATATATATACACACACACACACACACACGTATGTATGTATGTATGTATGTATGCGTGTGTGTGTGTATGTATGTATGTATGTGTGTATTTTTTCTATGGGAGCAAAAGCCCAGTGTGTGACCGCAGCTTTGCTCAGCTCTAGCTCTATAAATTTAATAAACTAAACTAAAATTCAATAATTGCAGCTCTGAAGTCAATCTGAACTACAACCGGCTGTTCATGGATGTGAAGAAACAATACCTGAAGCTTCTTGGAGCGCTCGTGAGTGATGAAAATATTCAAGTTCTATTGGTGTAAGTTCTCATGTTTACTGGGTAATTGTTGATGTCAGTCGTATCTTTTCAACAGAAATACCGTGTGCTGGTGTATAATGGAGATGTGGACATGGCCTGCAATTTTCTAGGAGACGAGTGGTTTGTGGAGTCGCTCCAGCAAGAGGCGAGTTTTTGCATATAATGCAGCTGTTGTGTCCTTCCTTTTAGGCTTAAGGTTATTGCACACTGAATACGTAATTTTTGGACGTAAAAAAAATTAATTCAACCTCAGGTTATGTGAATCGTATTGACGCACTGTCTCCGAAATGTCAAAGTTTTCCGCTTTTCACATCCGAAAAAGAACTTTGAGAGGAAATTTCACAGTTCAGAGCCACCATACAAGCGAAAAGCTAAATACAGAATGCCGTCATTTGAGCTACAGATAACTTTGACAAACACACAGTAGATCAAATAAAGACGGATTGTTGTGGACAGTTGAGAACTGGATTCAGTGACTGGCGCATCTCTGTTTTGTGTGTGTCCATACATGTCACGTACTGCTCATAGACATTATAATAGAAAGCATGGTCTGCTTTTGGTCCGTTGCTTCAACACATCAAAGCAGCTGCCATCTATTATTAGCCCCTTTCACACAGTGATACCTGTAAATATCCGGAAAATTTCCGGAACTACTTTACCGGTATATTCAAAAAAAGCGCTGTTCACACAGGCGAGGACGTTACGGAATTTTTCCGGAAAAGAGCATTCACACATCCATCGCAAAATGCCGGTAAATTCTGACATCATTCACCAGAAATGACCTCTAAACAGCTGCGCTTGTGTTTGTAAACATTTGACTACATTACAAACTCTTCGGATGGATCAGTATTGAGTACAACTCTAATGAAAACATAGGGAAACACTTTCACATGTCGAGATGTTCATGATATGCGTGTGTGCTGGTGCTATGGGCGCTCACGGGCACACGCAAAGCTTGAAGGTAAACAAACTACGGATTATCATAAACATTTTATCGATAATTATTTACACAGCATTAAGAAGGAACATAGAAACATTATCTGACTAACATCTAGCAGCTAAAGGTGTCTGGAAAAAATATTCAAAGGCTTTTATTCTCATAAACCACGCGCACGTGAATGCGTCTGACTGTTCTGATTGGCTAAAGCAGGTGTCTCACGTCAGCCCGTTCTAGACGTGGACGCGCTTATTACGGCAATCTTCCTTCTGCATTCACACAGCGCAGCATTCCGGCAAATTGCCGGTAATGTTACAACTTCTCTTTCCGGAAAATAGCCAGAACGAATTTACCGGTATTTTCAAAAAGGACCTGTTCACACATACAACCTTTCCGGAAAATTGCCGGTAATTTTCCGGAAAGGTCTGTATGTGTGAAAGGGGCTATAATGTCTACTGCCAGTCTCTGTTCAGGATTTGATTATGTACGTCAAAGGTGGGCAAACTATGCCATATGCGGCCTGCTGAACACTTTCATCCAGTCCGCGAGGCAGTTTTTAAAATGCTGCTTCTGAGGAACGGTTTGGTTTCAGAATTATTAAATTAATGATGCAATACAAGCAACCACCATTTGATGGCGGTATTGCACGCGGTACAGTTAGCGCAACCAGTAGAATTGGAATAAACTCTCAGATATTAAAATGCACTCGACCGTTAATGACTGGACATGAGTCGGGCAAAAATAAAATTGACTGAATGTCAGGGAAGAGTGGACAACAAAATACTTCAGCAATATCCGATAAAAAAACGGTATGTCTAATATGCCAAGAAAGTATTGCTGTTTTTAAAGACCACAACCTAAGGGACCGATCACACCGAACGCGCATTTAAATTCCAAAAACACAAGGTGCACCACACTGCCTATTTGTTGACAAGGAAAAAAAGGAGTGTGGTGCGCTTTTTTTTATGTCACTTGGCAACGGCTAAATCAGCTGGGTATTTTGCGAGAGTGTTGCTGTTGATATTAATTATAACTTTATTTTCAGGCCAGCGCTGCTCTTTGTGAGCCTCTCTCTCTCTCTCTCTCTCTCTCTCTCTCTCTCTCTCTCTCTCTCTCTCTCTCTCTCTCTCTCTCTCTCTCTCTCTCTCTCTCTCTCTCTCTCTCTCTCTCTCTGCAGTATTGTATGAACACAATATGTAGCCTATTCCTCTTTCTGCTTCTACTTTGGACAAG